CTCAGTAGTGATAGGAGTTAAATCAACTCAAACAACCTTGCAAAAGTGAGAAGATAAAACAACATGAGAGAATCTGTCTTTCATGAGGGAAAAGGCATTTAAAATGGGCCGAAAAAGATTGTGTCATGGTCTAGCTTGCTGTGTGAAGTTGATAAGGGTATAGTCAGGGGTCAATAATCTTCTGGAAGACTACAATCTTGTAGATAAATAAAAATAGGTGCTGGGTTTAGAAAAAAAATAGATCAGGGTTTAAAAACATTTCCTGCAATGAGATGAACATAAAACATTTTCAAATTTGCAAGTCATATGTTTGTATAGCAGCAGAAAAAACTAGGTGCGGCTACACACTAATCAAACATTTTCCAAAATAGTCCACTGACTTTGTTTTGTCTTATTCTGTCACAGAAATATTAAGAAAGGAAAGGAACCTAGGGAGAAATGCGCAGAGCCATTAAAATAAAAGTGTACTGATTATATTCAAGTTGCACTCAGAACAGGCATTCCAAGCATAGAGTTGAGGGGACTATGAGACCATGATTTCAATGACACTGAAATATTTCCTTCCCATTTGACTCCTTGACCATAAAGAGTATTGGTAGTGCCATTTTCATTTTTAGCAATGCTTGAGAAATTTATGACTGGGGAAGAAAATAAATTCCTTGGGAAAGATGGAACAAACTCCTCCTTGAGCGAAGAAAGCACTAGCCCACGGAATATGTCTGTGAAAGAAAGCACAGGCCAGCCTCGATTATCTGGGTGAAAGAACGCTTACAGAGATGGGTTCTGCTCCTCCGGCTCTGCGTTGCTAGGTTAACACTGCTTCTGATGAATCTTCATGCATGCTGAGGTGTCCATTCACAAGCAGCCACGTGATTCCAGGAAGGTTGGATAATATCCAAACCGTGCTGCAATCCATACACACCGGGGTGGTCCTAGGAGAGTGGAGTTCACTGGCCTCCATATTTCATAGGAGCCATTCTCTTCTCCTCCATCCATTTTCTTAACAATGCATCTCCTGACACTGTTTGCGATGCTGCCAAGGTATAGCCCGATTGAAATGTGGCTGCACGCTTGGCTTGAAGTGACTGTTAGTACACTCTGAGCAAATGTGATAAATAGGTTTTGTGTTTCTCCTGGTGCCTCTCCATGTAAATTGATGACTGCTGCCCAGGGGAATGAGCTGGGCCTGCAAACACGAAGAGGGATTAGTTTAAGTGTGACAAGGCCATCATCTATAACGAGGGGCATATATCACTGTCACATAAGAGAACCATGGCGCCAGGAAGACACCTACTGCTTATGGAAGGTCTCTGACTTCATGGCTGACTGTCTAAGCCTTCTTAGCTCAACTGCACTGTTCCCTCCAAAAACACCCTTTATTCAAATATGACAAAATAATTACTACTACCACTTGGCTTTGAATGGCTCAATTATGGCTGCAGTCACTTGGGTTAGTAATTACTAAAATTATGAGTTGGGCCTTAGGCCAGTTCTCTCTTTCTGCTCTTCCCCATGGAAGTAAAGAAAGACACTTTTATGGAAAAATAGATGGTGATTTCAAGAGCCAGGTTATAACAATTCATTTTAAGTGACCTCAGTCAATGAGAAAATAAAATGAGTCTGGCTGAGAACAAGGTTGAAAATTATTTTTTTTTAAGTTCTTTAAGAAGTCTGGCACCCTAAGACTGTAAGATGGGGTTGCTTGCATAATTCTAGTCTCTGTAAGAATGAGGAAAAGCCTGGCTTTTCTTTTTATAGCCTTATTATTACACTGGCCCTGACAGAACATCTCATTACTTGGTTGTTATTTGGTCCGCTATATTTTGGATTTCCTAGAGCAGATATTCTGGATGCTTTTTTAAATTTATTTTACATGCCAACCAGTTTCCCCTCCCTTTTCTCCTCCTGAGCCTTTCCCCTACCCCCTCCTACCCCCTCACCCACTCCTTCTCTGTCTCCACTTAGATAAGGTAAGGCCTCCCCGGGGAATCAACAAGGCACATCAAGCTGACACAGGACCAAGCTCCTCCCCACTGTGTCAAGACTGGACAAGGCATCCCTTTATTGGGAATAGGTTCCAAAGAGCCTGCTCATGCATCATGAATAGATGCTTGTCCCACTGCTAGGGGCCCCACAAATGACCAATCTATACTTTTATCACTCGGATGCCGAGGACCTAGGTCAGTCCCATGTTGTTTCCTTAGCTGTCTTAACAAAGGTTTCTAGAAACATGCACTGGATTTGTATAGACTTTTAGGGAGTTTGCAGGATAGAGTGTTAGAAGCTTTGATGGTTTTCTCGATGTTTCGCTTCTAAAATTCCTCAGGAGACAGGAGATACTTACTCATGTAAAGGACACAAATGATCAGAAAGGCTTCCTCTGACAACTTATGGGGACAGACACAGAGATTCACAGCTGTATATTCTAAATGGGAGAGGTAGTCTAAATGGGAGGTCTCAACCAAATCCCTCCCCTCAGAGCTCAGAGAATCCCTTGAAAGAGGAAAGTGAGTCAGAGGGGATGGGGGACATCAGTAGAACACTGAATCAACTAACCAGGGTGCATATGAGCTCAGAGACTGAAGCAGCAAGCGTGGGGTCTCCATCAGGTCCTCTGAGTATATATTATAGCTACTAGCTTAGTATTTTGGGGGAGTCCTGACTATTAGAAGGAGGGTGTCTCTGACTCGGGACTCTTTTCCGTCTGTTGGGCTGCTCTGTCCAACTTCAACATGAAATTTTTTGCTTCATCTTATTATATTTTATTTTGTCGTGTTTGGTTGTTCTTTTCTAATGAGAGACACAAAGAGAGTGGAACCAGAGAGAAGAGGAAGAGAGGAGGATCTGGGCAGAGTAGAGGGGGGAGCACTGTTACCAGGATATATTGTATGAGAAAAGAATCTATTTTCAATAAAAGAAAAAATAGAACACAGATGACGTTGAAGTTCTGGCAGTCAGTAGCTTTGGTTAATTAAGTCTGTTAATACGTCTGGTTTCTTAATCCCTAAATGGGAGTTAATGCAAAGAATGTCCATCTTTGAGTGTTTGTGGGCCTCAAACAAAGCACAAACAAAAGAAAAGAAAAGAAATTAAAATATGGCAAATAGAAAATAAATAAAAGCATGGTCTGCTGGTGAGAATTTTATTGTCATCTTATTGCAAACCAGATTCTCCTGAGAAGAAGGAAGCACAGCTTAGCAAATGTTCAGGTCACATTGGCCCCTGGGCATTTCTGTGCAACATCCTGTGGGCATTCTGTGCAAGGTTTTCTTGTTTTCTAATTGATGTGTGCACAGCCCACAGTGGGCAGTCATCCCTAGCCACTCCCTATATGAGAAGCTCAGTGGACTGAGCAGAATCTAGAGAGAACACATCAGTAAGTAACTTTCCTCCATGGTTCCTGCCTCTGCTCTTGATTGAGTGCCTGTCCTAACTTCTCTCAGGGATGGACTATAACTTGCAGCTGAAATAAGAAAATTATACATGGTATAGTAAGCCAAATGAATCATTCCCCCATTGGTCATGGTGTTTATCACAACAGAAAGCAAATTAGGATACATGGCAGGCATCAATTCAGCTATATCAATAATTATTTTAAGTTGAGGGTCCAACTAGACCAATGAAAACAGACCATCAGAGTAGATAGGAAAATAAGACCCATCCATATGCTATCTACACAAAGTTCAATCTAGCAATGAGAATTATATCCGGAGAAAAAGGATGGTGAATAATATACCATGCCAAAAGAAATGTAAAATTGTTACATAAATTTGTTTTAATAAAAGCAAGCACCAAGTCAAGAAAAATTACCAGCGAGAAAGCAATTCTTTTTATATAGTAAAGAGCTCTGTCCATTGTGGAACTATTCACCTAACAATGTGGGCAGCAAAATGTATGCTCCACAACATACTAGAACTGCAAGGAGAAAAGGGGAAATGCAGCATTACGGCTGGAGATGTTCATCCCATGCTTCTATCAGTAACTGATAGATCAAGCAGGCATCAATTAAGTACGGATATGGGTGGCTTGAGTTGTACTGTCAATCAACTTGATCTATTTGACAGTTATGGAACAGTCCACCCCGAAACAGCAGCTTGTACATTCTCCTGAAGCTCACCTGGAAGACTCATGAAGAAACTTGGTCCTAAGGCAATGAACAAAGCCAGAACTGGACTTCTTTAACTCCTGGTGATTTGATGAATGGCTTGGAGTGATTTTGCCATCGCTACCTCATAATCTTCCTTAACCTGCTAAATTTTCACTTTGGATGGCAAGACATTATCCCCTTCCCAGTATCCTCTTCCACTCCATGCTGCATTAGAATTTTGAGACCTTGAGAACTGAGTGAGGGAAAAGAGAAAAGACTAAAATGGAAGGAAGAAAATGATAGGAGGGGAAACAAGACGTGAACATAGTTTCTTCTATTTTTTCTATGTGCATATAGATAACTTCTAAAATAAGTTAACTTTTGTCATCTCTTATCTCATTTGAGCCATTTGGTAACCTATATTTCACAGACAAAGCCCAGGGAGCAAGAGGCTAGCATTAGAACTCACTCATGTCTGCCCTGTGTTCCCCTCTAAGTAGCATTGGTGTTGATTCACAGCCAAGTTGTGAGTAACCCACCTTGTATACATATTAAACTATTTACTCGTATCTTTCATTTAAAGGGACAAGTTTGTTATCAAATAATTTAAATCTAAGTATTCACATAGTATTTGAGTGGATTCATTCATTAGGAAAAAAATCACTTGGTGTTTACTCTGCGTCAGGCTTCTTGCTAAAGCATTGCCTTTGGTCTACTAGAAGATGAGAGAGCTTGGGTCTCCTCTAAATTATGGGTCTGAATCCTATCTTATTCACCTTGAATTTTAACATCACTTGCTGATTCAAAACGCAAGACACCAACCTTCAAGGAGCTTTCCCTTTAACCCTAGTCTGAAATAGAACTTGCCCTGAGTTCTGAATTCTGTCTCCATGGCAAACAAAATAGAGGTTATTCACTATAAACAAATGAATCTGACAGCTAGGGCTCACTTGGATGGGGGCTCCTTCATTTGCTGAGGAATGCACTACCGATCCCTTTGTTTAAGATGAAGACTCGGTGAGTAAGCAGTATAATGAAACGAGCTGTGTCTAGAATGTTCTCAATTTTCATCAAATATTGACCTAATTTCTGAAATCCATTTTCACTGACCTCATTCTGGTGTGAGAAGCTGGCTTTATTTAGGTCTTTGAACACAGAATATTCAAAGGTGAAAGTCTGTGGTGGGATTACATAAGAGATTCCTGCAGCAGTTAGACACGAAGAGGTATGTCCACATGGAATAGATGGATGGCCATGGTTGAAAGGAGTTTTGTTGTCATTTAACTTCATATGACCTCTGCGATGCTCTACACAATGCTTTCTTCTATGGCTCTGTGCCTACCCGGGATATCCTTACCATTCTCTCTTCCCTCTCCTGCTTGTTTCTCCAAGCATTTTTCTCACAGACTTTATTTCACATACATTCTTTTGGGGTGGCTTTTTGTGTCTGAGTTTTTGGAGCTCTAATTCCTCTAAATAACATTCTACTAATTTCTATATAATTTTGATCTGATCCCTGGAAGTTATTTCCAGTGCACATCTAATTCCAGTATTAGCTTTAAACATTCTTTGACTATGCATTCATCTTTTCAATGAAAAAATACTTTATGTTTCATGGACTTCATCATCGCTTTAGTTTATTTTGATGTAGGTTTCCTTTTATTGATTATAGTTAGACTTAATTATAATTCTGAGTCTAATGATTTACAAATTTTACACATTCTTGAAAGATGTTAGGTCTTATCTCTTTCATGACTGCCTTTCCTTAACCTCATTGTTTCTAAAATTCTTAAACCCTCATTTTGCTTTCCTTGTCCACATCTTTCCGTTTGTCTTTTCTGCCTCTCTGATGCAGTCTGTGTAGTGGGTTCAGACCTCTACTCTACCATGGCAACAACTCTATTCAGTGGTACTTATACTGGTTGTTTGATCTATTTAATTTTTTAATAGTTATAATTTGTATTTCTCTTAATCTTATTTGGCTGTGTTTCAAATCCTTCTGGACACACACACACACACACACACACACAAATCCTCAAAACATTTTGAACTTTTAAACTCCATTGAGTTCATACATTTTCTGATTTTCTTAGGAACCAAGTTTGTTGTCATTTTTTTCCTGTAGGCTTATTCTTGAAACAGTCTATTTCTTGTTTGTTACTGGACAACTTGCTGCTTGTTTGCTTGTTTGAGGCAGTACTAAGTATTGAAGTTATGGCCTCAACAAATGCTAATATGTGTTCTACTAATGGTCAATATTCCCAACCTTGATGTACTTTTAATTTTAGGACATGATCTTAGTGAAATTGCCCTGGGTAGATTTGAACTCCTCTGTGACCCAGGCAGGCTTTGAACTCACGATTCTCTTTCTTCAGCCTTCCATGTAACAAGGATTGTAGGATGACACCAAGCTTGTTACTGTGTGACAGGCTTGTTTCAGCTGTGAATTCATTTATGGGAAGTTTTCAAGAGACTCGCATTTCAGTCGCCTGCTCCTAAGAGAACTTGTTTGCCTTTGCTAATTAGAGCCACTGTAAAATTAAAAATGAGTAGTCCTCCTGCGACCTTTCAGAAATACATTCCTTGAATTTAATCTGCAAATATGTTTACTTATTTCTAGTTTTAAGTTTTCTTGCTGACTCCTCTCGTGGAGATTTTTTTTTAAAAAAAACTAATTTCTTTTAACGTATCAACATTTGGATACACAGACTGAAGAAGGTGTTTTGTATTGCATGTCCAACCTCAAACACCACCTATTCTTTGACCCCTGTCATTTTTAGCTGTCAGTTCTGACTATCAAAACGGAAGCTCAGGAACACCAGATGTGGCAATGACCAGTGTTCACGTCCCACTCTGGATCCCAATATGCTCTTAATCACTTTATTCCTAAAAATTTTTTAAATTTCATTTTACATTCCAACCACAGTTTTCCCCCTGGCTCCTTCTCCTGCCCTTTCCCTCATCTTCCCTCAAGCCTACCCCACATCTACTCCTCCCAACAGATAAGGGTTCCCAGGGAAGTCAACAAAGTCTGGCACAGTAAGTTGGGGAGTCTTCCCCCTGCATTAAAGTTGAGCATGACATCCTACCAAAGGGAATGGACTCCAACAATGTACTTCATTGTTGTACACCACGGATAGATCCTGGTCCTACTGTCAGGGGCCTATCAGATAGTCTAAGCTTCACCACTGTCTCCTACATATGAAGGATCTAGTTTGGCCCCATGGAGGCTCCACAGGGGTAGGGCTAGAGTTCATGAGTTTTCATGAGATTGGTTCAGTTGTGTCTGTAGATTTTTCCATCATGATCTTGACTTTGCTTGCTCATTCCCTCCTCCCTCTCTTTGATTGAGTTCCCGGAACTCTGCCTGCTGTTTGGTTGTGGTCTCTTGCATCAGGTTCCACCAATTACTGGATAAAGGTTCTATGGTGATAGTTGGGGTATTTACCAATCTGATTATAGGGAAGGGCATTTGAGGCACCCTCTCCACAATTGCTAGGAGTTTTAACTGGGGTCTTCCTTGTGAAATGTTGGGAATTTCCCTAGCACCAGGTTTCTCCCTAACCCTGTAGTGGCTCGCTCTTTCACGATCTCTCTTTCATTGCTCGCCCACTCCATCCCTCCTCGAACATCACATTCCCTCACGTTCCCATCTCCTCCCTTTTACCACTCCCCACCCACCCCCAGTTTACCCAGGAGATCTCATCTAATTCCCTTTCCCAGAGTGATTCATGTGTCCCTTGTAGGCTCTTCTTTGCTTCTCTGGAGCTGTGGATTGTAGTGTGGTTATATTTTGCTTTATGTCTAATATCTACTTATGAGTGAGTACATATTGAGTTTGTCTTCTGAGTCTGGGATACCTCACTTTGGATTCTTTTTCTAGTTCCATCCATTTTTCTGAAAATTTCATAATGTCATTTTTATTTACAACTGAATAATACTCTGTTGTGTAAATGTACCACGTTTCCTTTATTCATTCTTCAGTTGAGGGCCATCTAGATTGTTTCCAGATTCTGGCTATTATGAATAACGCTGCTATAAACATTGTTGAGCAAGTGTCCTTGAGGTATGATTGAGCATCCTTTGGGTATATGCACAGGAGTGATATTGCTGGGTCTTGATGAAGATTGATTCCCAACTTTTTGAGAAACTGTCATACTGATTCCAAAGTGACTGTGTAAGTTTGTACTCCACCAGCAGTGGAAAAGTGTTCCCCTGACTCCACATCCCCTCCAACATAAGTATTTTTGATCTTATTCTGACAGGTGTAAGATCGTATCTTACCTGTCAGAGTCATTTTGATTTGTATTTCCCTGATGATTGAGGATGTATTTCCTTAATTTAATGTCTTTTGGTCATTTGAGGTTCTTCTGCTGAGAATTCTCTTTAGATCTGTATCCCATTTTTAAAAATTGGATTATTTTGTATTTTGATGTCTATTTTCTTGAGTTATTTATATATTTTGGAGATTAGTTCTGCTTCAGATGTGGGACTGGTGAATATATTTGCCCATGCTGTAGGTTGGCATATAGTCTTATTTACTGTGTCCTTTGCCTTACAGAAGCTTTTCACTTTCAGGCAGTCCCATTTATTGATTGTTGCTCTCAGTGTTTGCGTGACTGGTACTTTATTTAGGAAATAGCCTCCTGTGCCAATGTGTCCAAGGCTAATTCCCACTTTCTCTTCTATCTGATTCAATGTAACTGGATTTATGTTGAGGTCCTTGATCAATTTAGACTTGAGTTTTGTACATGGCGGCAGATATGGATCTATTTGCAGTTTTCTACATGTTGACATTCAGTTATGCCAGCACCATTTGTTAAAGATGCTTTCCTTTTTCCATTGTACCATTTTGGCTTCTTTGTCAAATATCAGGTGTCCGTAGGTATGTAGATTAATGTCAGGGTCTTCAATTTGTTTCCATTGGTCCACATGTCTGTTTTTATGTCAATACCAAGCTGTTTTTGTTACTATAGCACTATAGTAGAGTTTGAAGTCAGGGATAGTGAGGCCTCTGAAAGTTCCTTTGTTGTACAGGATTATTTTAGCTATTCTGGGTTTTTTGTTTTTTCATACGATGATGAGTATTATTTATTCAAGGTCTATGAAGTGTTACATTGGGATTTTGATGGGGATTGCATTGAATCTGTGGATGGCTTTTGGTAAGATTGCTATTTTTATTATGTTGACTCCACCTATCCAAGAGTATGGGAGACCTTTCCATTTTCTGACATCTTCAGTTTCTTTTTTTAGAGACTTAAAGTTCTTGTCATACAGGTCTCTTACTTTTTTTGGTTAGAGTTTTATATTTGTGGCTATTGTAGAGGGTGTTGTTACCCTGATTTCTTTCTCGGCCCATTTATAATTTGTATATAAGAAGGCTACTGAGTTTTTGAGTTAATTTTGTATCCAGCCACATTACTGAAGGTATTTATCAGCTGTAGAAGTTCCCTGGTAGAATTTTTGGGGTCACTTATGAATTTGGAACTGAAGCCATCTGGTCCTGGGCTTTTTTTGTTTGGGAGACTTTTAATGACTGCTTCTATTTCCTTAGGGGGTCTATGTAAATTGTTTATCTGATCTTTAGTTTTAGTATATGGAACTTATACAGATAGTTTCCACTTCTCTTAAATTTTCCAATTTTGTGGATGTACAGGTTTTTGAAGTGTGATCTGATGATTCTCTGGATTTCCTTAGTGTCTGTTGTTATGACTCCCTTTTCATTTCTGATTTTTTTCAATTGAGATAGTCTCTGTATGTCTTTTGGCTAGTTTGGATAAAGGTTTGTCGATCTTGTTGATTTTCTCAAAAAGAATTGATTCTTTGTATTGTTCTCTTTGTTTACCCTACTTTTTTGGGGGGGTTCAGTCTATTTAGTGTTCTACAAACTTCTTGCACCCCTAAAAGCATTTCCTTCTTTAGGCTGGGAAAGCTTTCTTCTATGACGTTATTTAATATATTTCTCTGCCTTTGCACTTGTATTCTTCTTCTATCCCCATTATTCTTGGGTTTCACCTTCTCATGGTGTTCTAGATTTCCTGGATTTTTTGTCTTATGACTTTGTTGGCTTTAATGTTTTCTTTGACTGATGAAACTATTTCCTATAGCGTATCTTTAATGCCTGAGATTCTCTCTTCCATCTCTTGTATCCTGTTGGTTATGCTTGCATCTGTTCATTTTCCCACATTTTCCATTTCCAGAATTTTTTCTATTTGTGTTTTCATTATTGCCTCTATTTCAATTTTCAAGTCTTGAACTGTTTCCTTTACCTGTTTAATTGCTTATTCTTGACTTTCTTTAAGTGATTCATTTATTTCTTCCATTTTTTTGTTTGTTTTTCCTCCATTTTTTAAGAGAATTTTTCATTTACTCTTTAAGAGTCTCTATCATCTTCATAAAGTTATTTTTTAAGTAATTTTCTTCTGCTTCTTCTGAGTTGGTACGTTCAGGTCTTTCTATTGTAGGACTACTGGTTCTGTTGGTACCATATTGTTCCTTAGGTTGTTGAATGTATCTTCCATTGGCATCTACCCATCTTCTCCTCCAATTGGTACAGTGTCTGTGCCTCTTGACCTGATTGTTGCAGTCAGTGTCTGTGTCTCATGGATCCACCCTTGAACCTATCCGCGCAGTCAATGTCTGTGTCTCAGTGAGCTGCTCTAGTCTTCTCTGTGAAGTCACTGTCTGTGTCTCTGGAAACCACTGAGGTTAGAGGGGATGGGTGGGTTTGGGGGTGGAGTGAGGCTTGTAGATTACTGGTTGCTTGCTCAGTCTGTATGTTACTTGTGTATATGTGTCCGTGGGCTAATCTTGATTTCATTTTATCTGAATTTGCTATTCAGAGCTTGAAATGCTACTTTGAGAAAGAAGAAAGTCAATATGCCTGTGTGTTCGCTGCCTTATAGACACTGAGTTTCCTGTGCATGCTATTAATCATCTTAGAAGTAGTGTGTCTCCTAACTATATTCCTGAATTTATTCCACAGAGAGAGGAATTCAAAAAAATATGCATGGAGGACTTTTAATGATATTTTTCCTGCCAGATGAGAAACTGATTTGAAGCAATGTTTTCTCCCCCACATTCGGTTCATGAAATAGAATCTGTTCAGCCAATGGCAGTAGAGCTCTCATCGAACTGTGAGTGCCCGAACTGTTTGGGATGTAGTCAGGGTGAGTCTGACTGGAATTCCCCTCTCGTAAAGCGAGAGGATGATGCATCACTCTCCGGATCAAGTAAGAAATCCTCACTCTCTCCCATCATGAAACGATTTCTGTCCCAGTCTTGTTCCAACGGCCTGAAGAATGACAACAAGGAAGACCCTGTGCTTCTCCCTTCAGAGGAGGAAAGTTCTGTGGGCTTCTCTCAAAGGCAAAATCTCAGCGAGACCTCAAAGAAGATCAAACGGAAAATCAAACCGTCGAGAGAGCTGACTATCCAAGAAGTACTGAAGAAGTTTGGAGCCCGTGGGAAGTTTCTGTCATACTCCAGGTCCTTGGGACACTCTAAAGACCACGTGGTTGTGGCCTTCAGACGAGCTCTGTACTATTCTGGAATCTGGGTAAAACATGTCCAAGGCTCTAAATTGGAAAATCACTTTTCAGCGAAGTATTTCAAAAGAAATCCCGGTAGCCTCCACCGGTTGATCCCTTGGCTAAAACGGGAACTCACCGCTGTTTATGGAGACTATGGCTACACAGTGAAGAATATTCTAGCTGCCATTCTCCATCACATGACCAAATTTGACCTGGAGAGTGAATCTTTCACTGACCTACTGGAGCCTTATCTCCTCCAGCATACCCGCCACTTTCTACATGAGTTCCTCAGTTTTGTTTATTCGTCTTACGACGTGGAGACCTATGACCGGAGTGCCATCTACCAGTGTCCCCTTTCCACGTGGGTGAAAAACAAGAGCTTCTTTTCTACTCCAGTCTTGTCTTTGCCTGACGATCTCTCCCTCGTGATATCTCAGCAAGGAACAAAGCAGTCAAGGAACACCCAGGTTCAGTGGAACAAGACTGGAAAGGGGCCTCTCTCGGACTTGAAGCAGTTCCCAAACGGCAATCTTGCCGTACAAATTCCTCCAACCTCAATGACCCATCAGAAAACAGCAAGCAAATTCCATGCTTGGACCAAAGACGAATGGGAACATGATTTCAAGGATGTGGTTTGTACAACCAATTTGTTACTGGACTGGGATCATCTCAGGGAAAGCGTCCCAGGCACAGATGTTCAAGAGAAAAAGACAGAAAACTCAAAGCTGCTCCCCGACCATGTCGAGGACCTGCAGAAGAGTGGAACCGCTTCCCACGCCTGGGGAGCAGCAGTGGATTCTAATCAAGTACCACCAAGAAAGCACAATGTAAAGGAAACAAACGTTTTGAGTCCTGGCCAACAGGTACATTATCGGAAAAAAGAAATAAAAAAAAAGAAAAAGAAGCTTGAAGGATCTTCACCGAAGGCTTTTCAAAGATTATCTAGGGAAAGAACCCAGACAAACAGCAAATCCAGAGAAGCTGATCTTTCTAAGCTTTGTATCTCTGGAAATGTCCCCTTTCCTACTAGAAAGGATACAATGCCGGTTTCTTTGACAAAACAGAAGAGAAAGTGCAGCCAGTCTTCTCAGTCTGTAGAAGTTGGGTCACGCCACAGTATAAGAACCCAGATACCATCCAGTTCCAGGACACCCATATCCAAATCCCGGTGTGTCGGGCCCAGAAAGCAATCCATAAGCAGAGATCAGAGTAATCTCTCTTTGCGGGGAAGTTATAAAAGCAAATGCTTCACCCAAAATATACATGGTGGACCATCAAAAGGAAATTTGCATGACTGCAGGATTGCATCTTTGACCCCAGTCCACCCGGACAAGATTTGTTTAACTGCTGAGAGGAGACAGAGCTACACATCTCTAGGTAACTGTGATTCTCAAACTGTAGGAGAGTATGGCAGTCTCGCAGGCCCACAGACTGAGAAGTATGTGTCCCCAAGTCGGCAGCAGCAGAAGGGAAAGAACCTACTCGGTAGAGCTAGAAAAATCGGGACACTTGGGCCCCCAAAATCCAAATGCCAGTGTGAGGGTTCTCAAACTGCTGCAGAGTTCTGTGTTTAATTGGGGCATCTCAATGATCAAAGACCAATGAATTGTCATTCTGAATGTGCGGCTTCCTGCAGAAATTGAAGACTTCAGAAGTATTCAGCCAAGAATGGATCCAAAATAGATAGCAACAGAAGCATAGAGATATCAATTGTTTTGAAAGGCAAATTAGTCTAATTAGACAGGCACCAGGGCTCTTTGCAAGTATGGATATAGTCTGAGATATATAAAAATATTAATTTTAGCATGTTGTAACTAGAACAAAATATCTGATAGTTAAATTCAAATCTTATTGAACACAAATATATATTAAATTATTCATGTATATAAATAATATTTCTGTCTCCTTTTTTGTAAATGAGTAGAATTTCTTGATATATTTTACTTGGACCCTGCATAATGGCTCAGTGAGTAGAAGCTCTTGATGCCTCATGTCAGTCTCCTAGATACACATGGCAGAAGGAAAAAACCAACTCCTACAAGATCCCCTCTGACCTCCACAATTAAGCCATGGCTCAAACATGCCCTCTTCCCAACATACCTACATACACACACATAGAGAAAGAGAGCTGTAGTTTACATTTTAAACAAATACTTTATTTCTATTTTAGCTTTGGGTTTAACAACGAAGATTGCCTGCTCAGATTTCCCAACATAGCAAAGATTATATTAATAGTTGGAATATAAGTTTCTTAAGAAAGTTATGCTATTATGTATGCTGTTAAGCATGTGATGTGGGATTCCCCTCTGTATGCTGTGAATACCACTGGTTAATAAAGAAACTGTCTTAGGCCTGCACAGGGCAGAACAGAGGTAGGTGGGGAAAACTACACTGAATCCTGGGAGAAAGGAGGTGGAGTCAGGAGAAGCCATATAGCCACCAGGTACAGACATGCCAGAACCTTGCTGGTAAGCCACAGTCATGTGGCAATACACAGATTAATAGAAATGGGTTAAATTAAGATGTAAGAGTTAGCCAATTAGAAGCTAGAGCTAATGGTTCAAGCAGTGATTTAATTAATACAGTTTCTGTGTGGTTATTTTGGGGTTGAGCAGCAGTAACAAACAAGTGGCCTCCTACTACAAGCATGCATGCATGAGTGCATGTATACCTCTGTGTTTTTCTCTCTGTGTTGTATTTCAGAACTAGTAGAATTTTGTGTGCCTAGAAAATATGACAAAACCACTATCTTAAGACATATACCTGTCTATATATCTAGAGTCACTGTGTAATTACCAGCATTTCAAATCCATTTTAAAAAGTAGTTAAAATAAACATCTCTAGGATTTTTTTTTACAGCCTTCCCCACAAATCCTGAAATGTAGTTATTTTAAGTCATGTGTTTAAGTAATTCTGATTTCTCACTCATAGACACCTAGTCCAGTGACAGTAAGGACACCTCAAAGTATTTTGCCTTTAGCCATGGGATTTATGAGTCCAGTGGTGATTGAGCTCCTGTATGTCCCAAGAGTATTCAAACTATTTTGAAATAAGAGTGTTTCTTCCTCCCTGGTGGCAGATGGTAACAGAGCTAAAGATTGGACACTGCCTGGAGCTAAGTTCATGAGTTTGTGAAGAATGCAGGTTGAAAGTGAAGGGGGGGAAGATGAGCAGAGAGAAAAGCTGGGTAAGTCAGAGGAGAGGGCACTGGAAGCAGGACCTGGGTCTTTGGAACTGACTTTCAACTGCTTTTGAATTTGAAGTTTTCATTGAGTTTTGTTTAGTCAGTGTGCCTCATCTCTGAATCCTTTATAAAAAAGGACTTGTACTGAGTTATGCACAGGTACACGGCGTGAGCAAACACACAGGGAATAAGAGTCTCAAAAGGAAGGTTTTGAAGGTCTCTTGTGCAGTCCTGGAAAATGTTTAGGAATTTGCTAGAGGAATTTATTGGAAATGGCTACCATGGAAAAGAAACGACTTTAAGTAAAGGACCCAAGTGAAAATGTCTAGAACTTTCCATGTAGTTTCTTTAGAGCTCCTGAGAGACATGCTGAGAAGAAAAACTGCTGTCAAATTGTAAAAGGAATGAAATCAGATTTCTGGCTCATGGCTGCTGGTTTCTCAGTAGTCACGAGGCTCCTAGAGACAGCACAGGATTCCAGATGCAGATTTATAGGCTTTGGGATTTTTTTACAGAAATTTTAGAAAACATACATTAGCATTAATATTAACTATATTAAAACTAACCTTGAGCGACCATCCGTTGCTGAAGATCCAGTAGCATACACAAGGCCCTGAAATTGGGAACAGGAAATCAATTACAGTGCATCAAAACATCTCTGTTTAACAAAAGTGTCTATATGGTTAAAAGTATGCACATGACCCAACAGTGTCTTTTTCTGGCTTGAACAAACTAATAATATCTAATGGTCTTCAGGTAAATGAGTGAATGTTCTCATTTAGAGAGATTGTAGTCATGAGCATGTGTAGGTATCACACACACACACACACACACACACACACACACACACACACCATAAGGGATGCAGAGATGCAATGCATTCACTCAACAAAACTCAGAAAGTTAAAAAAAAAAACCTTGAAAGACAGGAAAATGGACCAAGTGAAAAAATAGATCATGGCTTGCCTTTCTTTTCTCTGTTAGCTTTCCTCTCTTTTACCTTAAACTCAAATTCTCCACAAACTCATGTGTCCACAAGGCTTGTTTTAATTCATATCTTACTGGTGATGAAAGTGATCAAGGGTTGCCCTTGCAGTGTGCCCAACGCCAGGGTCAATGATCTTAAGTTACAGTTGACACAGCTTCCTTTCCGTGGTAGCGTTTTCCACTTAACTAATTTTGTCACCTTTGGGCAACTGCATTCACAAACACTGTCATTTTGCTTGAGCACACATGCTGAGGTTACTTTAATTATGCTTATGTTTCCAATGAGGGGAAAGGTTTCAGAGAGATCACATCATGAAAAAACAGCAGAGCTGAGACCTAATTGTAGGTCTAACTGCACACGCTCTGTATTTTTATAGCTTGTTATGGTTGGCTGAGTTTTTCAGATCTAACCCAGACATGGTTAGGACCCTTAGCATCTGGTCTTCTCCACTCCCGAGAACACATTTTCATTCATAATCCAGAATGCTAGCATAACTATGGAAGTGAAGGTTTTAAGGGGTCACATCTGTTTATTTGTTAGAAGAAAGAACCAATTCCTCACTCCCAAATTCACTCTCCCTTGTCCTTGGATGCCAATGGGTTCATCTGTGCCAGCTGGGAGGAGGGAGGTGACTGATCTTCGGTACATATGTTTCAGTTCACACAGCTTCTCTATGGCATGTGGGTCAGCTGAGACCTCTCAGGTTCAAAGCAAGATTTTCCTCTCTGCCCTTGACTCTCTGGTGTTCTTGGTGCAGTTGCTTCGTGAGGCGTAGGTCACCTTTCTAATGAAAAGCAGGTAAAGAGAAATGAAGTCTTGAAGGAATTGAAATAATGGCAGGTGTTAATATAGAAAATAAAAGTTGTTAAATACTTTGGTATTTCAATGCACATATTCTAGCTGAGGTGCATAGGAAAGGCTACCATTTACCCTGCCAGAACAAGTAGAGTATACTTTTCTCTGGTTTCACTACCCTGAGATCCCTTTCTCCAGATCAGCTACATTGCTATTGACATTCTGATGTATAATTTTATTCATGCAATCTATCTGCCTAAAGTTTTCCACCTGTGGTGTGGGAGAATTATCTGTATTCTGTCAATCATGTATTTTAATAAAACGCTGATTGGCCAGGCAGGAAGTATAGGCGGGTCAACCAGACAGGAAGTAGAGGCGGGGCAATGAGAATAGGATAAGGCTAGGAGGGAGAAAGCTCCCTCAGCCATTCCTGTCCAGATCACCAAAGAAGCAACATGTGAACTGGCCTAGCTGAAAAAGGTACCAAGCCATATGGCTACCATAGATAATAATAATGGGTTAATATAAGTTACAAGGGTTAACAAGATGCCTGAGCTAATGGGCCAATCAGTTTATAACCTTATGGAGTCTTGTGTGTGATTTTCTTTGGGGTACTGGGCGGGACAGAAACCCCAACAAGCCGGCCCTCATGTTACATATGGCATCCAGACGTGGATAACTGAATCCACAGAAAGCCTGAGAAAGCTTGGGAAAGAATAGAGTAAAGCATATTTTCTTGGTAGCAGCAATTTCTCGGGTCTGCTCTGCTTGCTAGAGGCAAGCGAATGCTCTCATCTAAGAGAGGCTTCCTGACTCAGCTTTAGCTGCAAAACCCTGCAGCTCTTTTAAGAGGTCCTTCCACGAAACACTTAAACGGTGTTGATCAAAAGATGAATGCATGCTTTTCGGTTTTCAGTCGAAGCAGGAAAAATGCTGCGCTATTTTAAAATGCCGGCTTTCCGTACTGTCCTGCCAGGGCAATCTCTGACTCTTTCAGGTAGGCAGTCCGACTGAGTGTGGTCTGTGAGCAGAATGCTCCAGCTTGCTTGCTTGCTGGCAGGGACCTTGAAACGCCATAGAGTTGTGGCAGTAAAAGGCTCCAGTGGTACCTCTACCATGAGTCTGAAAAGCTAAGGAATGGACTGGATCTAGCCGTCAAAGCCACGGCTCTCCATATTGCTTAGTAAATTAAAGGCTTATGTAGTCAGAAAAAGAGAGATATACAGTAAAGAGAGATTCAAAGAGGAAGAAAACCTCTAACTGGTTTATAGTATGTTAAAAATATATGCAGGCTAAAGGTTAAAGTCATTAAAAATAAAAAAGAAGAAAAGGGAGACATGGGGTGTGGTGGTACACACCTTTAATCCCAATGCCTGGGAGGCAAAGGTATATTGACCTTTGTGACTTCAAGGGGCAGAGGTAGATTGACCTCTGTGACTTCAAGGTGTGTTAGTACACGCCTTTAATTCCAGTGCCTGGGAGGCAGAGACAAATCTCTGTGAGTTCAAGGTGTGGTACCACATGCTTTTAATCCCAGCACTGGGGAGGTAGAGACAGGCAGATCTCTGTGAGGTCAAGGACAGCCTGGTCTACAGAGTTATTCCAGGACAAAGATATACAGAGAAACTGTCTCAAAAAGTAAAAGTAAAAATAAGAGAAATAGAGGTTAGAATAAAGCCACGTAAAGATGGGAAATAAACAGAGAATCTTGATACTGTATGCTATTATGCTCTCTTTGAATTGTTTGATTGCTGAGGAAGGAACAACAGCTGCTAAAAGATATTTACTTATAAATGCTGCAGAATCAACCCAAGAAAGGTATTTTGAAAATACCTTGGCTTCAAAATTGAAGTCAAAAGGTATGTTACTTTGGAGAAGAGATTCTGCTTTTGTTTCCACAGAAAACGAGAGGCTCTGGATTTATTC